TCTGGAGGGGTTACAGGCTGCCAGGTTTCAAATCATCCAACAGAACGTCTGTTCTTCTCATTGTCCGTTGGAAAAAAAAAGGGAACATCCTCATTATCTGCCATAGCTTTGGCTCATTAGGAGGGACAAGGGGATGTCTCGGTATAAATACTTCAAATCTTTCCCGCTAAATGGAGAAAGTCATGTTGGAGAAACTGAACGTCTCAGCAAGAAACAAGGTAGAGATGTGTTACATCTGGAAATGTCAAGTGATGCAAGAAAACGATAGCAGACACGAAGCATTTCAGATACTCTGAAACATTTTAATTGATTTTTTTTTTTGCATTTTCCCACCTGGTATTATGCTAATAACACTTATTTTCGTATAAAATTTTTATGGTTTTAAAAAACACCTCTCCTCCTCTTACAACACAGTCGAGTTGAAAAGATCTGATGTTTCTGAGGCAGTTTTTRTAGCTGCAGTTATAAATTCTCTTGCATATATTTATTTAGATCATCTATTGAAGCAGAAGATAAATGTTCGCTTGTTTAATGGATTTCACTGTGAACTGTTGGACATTTCTGATAARTGGCAGAGGTGTATTTTACCACAGACTCTTTCAAAGTTCATGACATTTACAACAGCTTCTCTGGTATTTACGTTGAAGGTTAGAATGGTCAGTCAGGCAGCTTTTAGTTACCCAGTGAACCTTTGTTTCTTCATAATGAGAAGTTATTACAGCATAYACTCAAGAGGTGGTGCGTGTGTGGATTGCTGCTGTAAGAAAACACACACAAAGACGTAAATTAGTCCAATCCCCGCCATTTTCTCGGCAGCATTCTCTAGAGAAGGCAAGAACATTATCATAAAGTTCAACTAATATTTTCCAGCAGACAGCACATAGAAAGAAGTCATACGTGGGTCTAATTAAACATCAAAGTGTACATTAGGTGTCATATGGTGGGTGTGGGGTGGGGGTGTGGACTTGCCTGCGTGCCGTGTCACCCAGCTCTAAGCGTTCCTGGGGAGAAGATATAATTAAGTGAACTGAGATAAAGTTGAGCTTATTGCCAAAGTGGCGTTCCTGCTGATAGCTCACTAAGTAGCAGGCGGCTGCAGACAGCACTGGCAGGTTAATCAAATATTAATAAGGAATATCGCAAATGACAGTTTAAATACTGCTGTTGGCCAACGGACATGTGCCTGAGGAGCACAGTTGGAATGCAAGTGAACATCTAATTTACTTAATATGGAAGGTCACACTGTCACATTTGCACATTAGTCTGACGGTGACTGGATGGAGCCGCTGAGCTCGCAGCCTCACAGGAGGGGATTAAACAATGAAAGTGAAACTTGAACAGAAGCAGYAGAAATGAACTGTCTGGATACCAGCTTTACTTGTTCTTCTTTTCTTTTATTTTAAAAACCTGTCATCGACAAATAGAGAGCTACGTTTATTTAAGTTGTAAAAGTAAGTAAGTACACAGTTCAGGWAGTGGGAGACAGAAGAACTCTGACTAAAATAACAACTTTGATGAACAACGTCTCCCATCCCATGCATGAAGCTGTGGCTGAACTGGAGAGCTCCTTCAGCGACAGACTGCTGCATCCGAGGTGCACAAAAGAGCGTTGTCGCAGATCCTTCCTCCCAGCAGCTGTCAGACTCTKTAACCGGCACCAYGCCCAAAAWTCAYAATAARTGTTTAAACACCTGCTGCTGCAACATCATTTACAGTTTAAATTTTTGACTGTTACTATTCATTGTAATTACTCACCCGAACAATAATTTGCACTATACTCTGCTGTAATTGCACATCTGTGTTTCTTGTCTGTATTGTGATACTTCACTTTACAGTTGTTGGTCTGTTGGGATTGTTTTTGCACTGAAAACAGGAAACTTCTGATTCCGAATGTTGGATTCTGAAACAAAACATAGTTTTTCTATTCTTGCACATTCTTCATATTATCTTTTTATTTTTATTAGTAGTTGTATGGCTAGCAAGTGTTAATTTGTTTTGTGTGTACTATCTATAGTTTGTAAAGTAACTAGTGTGTGAACCTTTGTACTGATGCTGCTGTGACACCTGAATTTCTCAGCTGCAGGACAATAAAGGCTATTTCTATTCTATTTTAGATTTTACATAATAAACGATCATTTTTGCTATTAAATACACATTTAAAAGAATAAAGTCCAAAATGACATCAAAATGCAAAATAGATAAATTATTTACGCATCTAGATGTTTTGAATAAGGAATGACAGAATGCTGATGGCCCCATGCTTTGTCTTTGGCCTCAAAATGACTAACTCTGCTCGGAGCAGATCTGCATGTCAGAAAAAAAAAAGCTGCATTTGAAAAATGTTGTCATTTAGATGCTTGGATCCTTCATGATGAAGACAAATTAAATATCTAAAGCCGATGCAAAGTGACACAAGGCACTGAAACTTACTGATTGTTACACCTACTGGCTTGACAATAACCTTTGATATTAAAACCTCCAACAGTAATAATCAGTAATTCAGCTGTAATGTTTCACATAACGGTGTAAGTGTAACAAATGCACACATTTGCATACAAATAGCTTTAACGTCGAGTCATTATTACTTTTTGAGAAGTGTGAATCCCTTTTTGTTCCACAGAAATTTTCCATCTCTCTCCTGTCTGGGATTCTAGAGGCATGAGTGGAAATCATTAATGACAACTCCTAATGGCTTCAGGGTGAAAATTCAGGAGGTTAATACGACTGCTTAGCACGGAGAGCTATTCAGAGCAGAGACACCATCAAATCAATCAAAAAAAAAAAGGATTGTGAAAGATAATGAGATCAATGACATGCATAGAAGCATATAAGAATATATTATTTTTCAGTGGCWGCAGTGTTATTCAGCTCGGTTATCTTGTAAAAAAATGTGGTATTTCTAGAGATGCAGAGTTCGACATATTGAACCAAATTAAATTGAACAATGATTTTCACAGTGAGCGTAAACATAGAAACCTTCATGGATAATATTTTAAAAATAATTATTTTTTTTCATGGAAAAGTAAAATCTCAGAGAAGTTCAAAGAACAACACGTTATGATGGGAGCAAATGATACACTGTAGGCTGCTATTAGTGAAACACCAGAATAAAATAATTTTTAGATTTTCACCAAACAGCTTGTTTTTTTTGTTTTGTTTTTTTCCAAAAAAAAAGCTTGCTCTTTTCTGATGTTGGATTTTACACGTTTGGCCACAACATCTTAGCAAAACTCTTAATATATTGCTGCTGGTGTAGTGGCAACAACTGTTATTTGATCAGGCTTAGGATCTTTTTTTATTGGACTCCAGCAAGACAGTTTTCTAATTAAATTTTAAAGACTAAGGCAACAATGAAAAAACTGTCCAGACAAGCAGCAAAGATTTTCACAAAGTGGCTAAATTATTCATGAGACATCAGTAAGTGGTGCTAATACTGACAGTATGACCCATCTGGGCACGGCTAAGCGGCTGTCAATATGAGAACATATTTTGTTGAAGTTTTTTTATTTTATTTATTGTTTCAGCCCTGTGTCCACACATTTTATGAGCCACATGAAACTGGTTTCAGAGTAAAAAAACAAAACGATCTTGGACTGCTATTCTTGCTTTTTGTGTAGACAGTTGAAACACAGTGGTTGTGTCTCAATTCATGAGTTAGCCGTATAGGCCGCTCATGTCGGCTGCATAAACGGCTGTGAAATRAGACGGTTTAGTCTACAGAAGACATGTTTGCGTGACCACGCCCTGCCTCGTTATCATGGTGATACATTTTATATTAGGGYTGGGCGATATGATCAAAATTTTATATCACGGTATTTTCAACATTTTCACCGGTTTCATGGTATTTGACGGYATTTTTCTTTTCATCACAGCTCAGCTGATAATAAAATGTACAAACCCTGCTCATACATGTCAACTTGTATGGATTGTCCGTAAGTTATAAGGATTTAAYRTCATTTTGCAGGTATMCGGATGTATAGAGTAATCTCACGGATCTTTTCAAGTCTTACGRATTTTTTCAAAACCTGATTTTCAAATTTATCTAATATGTCAGAGCCTGTAGGTTGATTTAAAAAACAATAAATAACATCAAACAGCCATCTTTTAACCTGTTCTGCCGCTAGAAATAAGTTTTGAACTTTTTCCGCTGTCCTCTCTTCCTGCTGCTCAGCGGGCGCTTTCATGTCCGCAGCCGCCAAAACGGTATACCGCCCAGCACTATTTTATATCACATCGCTTTAGTTGTTTTCTCAAGGTAAAACTTCACAAAATTCAGTTTAATAGAAAAAATGTTACAAGTAAATAAATAAAAAGCATTAGTTATTTGGGTTTAGCTCWAGTATCAGCACCTGTAACTGCATTTTATTTAACATCTCATTGCAACATTTTCTTCAGCTAAGTTGCCTAACTTACTTTCTTCGGTTCGTGATAAATTTTCAAACTCTGTCATTAAAAACATACAAAAAATTGCCAAAAAATAAAGTTTTTCTGCTTAATTTGTTGTTTAATGAATTCTGGGATACCGTCAGCCGCGTAGGCTACTCAGCTGYAGTCAAAGTTTTCTGGGTTTTGTCGGCTGCTGGAGTCGGSGCCTATGAATTGGGACAGCCTACGGTGCAGGGCAGTGACGTAACATGGCCGACAAATTGAGACACAACCAACATTTRGAAAATAATGGTGATTGTTCTTCCTGTTCTTGCTGTATTTAYATTTTGCACCCACCATAAAAGCTTTAGGAGCATTGTTCCCTGGTTTTAGTGTATTATGGAAGAAAAGAAAACACTGTAAAAACAGCTCCAGTGTTGTTTTAGTGARCACACAAGAAGAAGGTTTCTTATGTTTCTCAAAATTTTTGTTTGTAAAACCTACATGATGACCCTAGAAATAAAGACTTAAAAAGCAATTCCCCCAATTTGATAAGCATTAGATGACAGCAYCAGAATGAGAATTAGCTGAGATCTACATATGCCTTATTAAAATTATAAGAAGAAACATTGCTCTTTTGTATTGTATTTTTTATTAAAAAGAAGAATCTTCCATATATATTTTCATCTCAGACTTCTGATTTGTATTTTGACGAACACAACAAAAATACACAGGAGTTGAATTTTAACAAAAATGTAAATATTTTTTGAATAAAGCTGTTATTTACTCTCATTACTCTCTGTATGTTCCTTCAGTTGATTTGACACAATTCCCCATAACTTATATCTGCAAAAAAACAAGATAAATTTAATTGCACAATAACTGACAGACTGATTTTATTATTGGTCTGACATTTTAAGTCAACTTCATGTTGAGTGCTCATTTTCRTTGTGAGGGCAGCAGTTAATTTTCWTAGGAAATATTAAATAAATAAGCAATCTAGATAATAAATATTTAAGCAGTGCCATTATTGTGTGTCTGCTGAGGCTAAATGGCACGGAGGCTTTGCAATAGTTATCTGTTAATGAATTTGTTGATGGATTTAGAACAGGCTGCCTGTTGAATAATTCATATTACACACATTAAGGAAATTATATTTGTATATATCTCTTTTATTTATTATTTAATAAGTTACACTTGCCTCCAGAAGGACTCACATGTAAAATATTTATAGAAGTATATTTTGAATACTAAACTGATGATTTTATATCGATCTCAAGATCAATTGAGATTATATTTGTACATTATAAAAAAACAGTTCAATATATTCACTTGATGTTTGAAGAGGTAGGCATTTTATGACCATCTATCATTCTTTAAACATTCAGTCCCACTTGAAGTCTTGTCCCACAGTTTCATAGAACTTTATGTTAAATGGCCTATAAAACTCTTGCAGCTGCTCTAAGACCTCCGGGTCCATTTGCACGTGAGTCCTGCCCTTGGATTTGCCGAGGCATCGCGGCTGACTGCTGCTCTCCGGCTTCTTTAGGCAAGGGAAACCTTTGGTTCGATTGAAGTAGAAGTGCTTGTCTGTGATTATTCGCTTGAGTCCTAGGAAGTCCTGAACCCGGCCCATTTCCCCTGCCGGGTCCGTTATCAACCGCTCGCCGCTCACAAAGTGCATCTGCGACAGACGGAAGTACTGCAACCAGTTCTCCAGATGCAGAATATACATCCCGATCCGAATGGCGTTCCAAGAYGTGTCCACGAGACCCTGACTTCTGTTCTTGAAAGCAAGCTCCTCAAACGTTGGAATGTCAGGCTTCTTCGAAAGAGTCTGTGTGTAGTCGGAGATGGCTCTTGTGACGGGGTTTCTTACCACAACAATCAGCTTGGTTTCGTGAGACATGCCGGAGATGCGTCGGGGTGCCTCTCTCGTCACAAAGTAGCTGGGAGTCTTCTCCAGCGTGATCTGGCTGTCTAGTGTTCGTGGCATCAGCCCCCTTGTGAGGAGAGACAGAGAATAAAAACACACATGAGTGAGTTGTTATTTTTTTTTTCCCTGTCCAGGAACATTTCACCAGGCTTTTTCTTTTTCAAGGACATCTAACTCAGGAGGAAGTTTAAACTGAGATGTGAGCAGCAGTGCCTGTCACAGGCGTCAGCCAAGATCTTAAATAAGATTGCTGCAGGGATCTTCAACTGTTAAGGCTGCAACACTACAGCATGAAAAACGTGTTAAAAAGAAAAATCAAGGAATGAAAACGTTACTTCAGAGAACATTTCAACATTCAAATATGTTTCATGTGCCACCGTTTAAAATTCTTCATAATCACAATAACAAATTAGAGAAAAATATATTTAAAAAGTCAAGAGTATGAAGAACTGCATCGTTCGTAGATTTTGCACACATATTTGTCCTGCAATGGTGCAATGAGCAGAGGTCCCAAATGTGCCATATGTGAATATATTTACCAGATACTCCGTTGTGACAGAGCAGGTTGTCCAACCAAAACATGCATCATAATTATTATCATCATGCTGCCAAGCTAATGGGTTTGCAAACTAGAGGCAAATGACTGTATTTGTCATGTTTGTCATAAGAAATTTCCATCCAACTGCAATATGTCATTTTGCTTTGGCACTTTGGTCAATAAAAGTTGATTAATWTCCAGGTGGGGTTGGCAGTTTGGAGAAAGTTCCCCTCATTTACAATTCAGAGATCAGTCATACATCCACGACTGTCTGTTTCCTCTAAAAAAAGACTGAGCACTTCAATCATCCAAGAAACTCAACAGTTTGGAAGRAATGTGGTAATTTCGTGGCATTTCTTTCCTTGTTTTATGGTTACAGAAAGCATGGTGTCTGAATCGTTACAGTTACAGTCACAACTTGTGAAGCAGTTTCTGGGTTTCAGCACTGGTGATAAATAGCACACTTTCTTTATTATTACCAGAGGAAGGCTTCGATTAAAACCTAACCTTTCCCAAAGCTTTTTTCTCTCAAGGTAGGGGTAGCCTGCTAAAGTCTTCGAAATATCGATCCATTTAGTTTTATTTATGATTCCCGAGTTGTTGGCTGGTGTGCCTCAGGGCCACAGGGGAGCTGTTAATCTTTTATGAGAATGACACCTTTTCAAGAAAACAGCTTTGCTCCACACACACACACACACACACACACACACACACACACACAC